GTGGAGCACAGTTTTAGTCTGACACACATGGGGTCGCCATGAGTCGGACTCAGCCTGACAGCAACACGGTGGTGGTGGTGAGGGCTGGGTTCAGTCTGAGAATCCTGGATGTCTCCACCCTGGCCTGAGAAGGACATCCCCCAACTCCTCAGCCTAACTTTGCCAGCCCTCCTCCGTCTCAGGCAGATGCCTTTCTGGTCTTTTCTACCCCACTGCTCCTCCACAAGCAACCACCCTTCCAGCCAAGCCAACCCACCTCTTTCCACATAGTGCTCCGTCTGACCTCCAGGCACTTGCTCCGCTGGTCTCCTCTGCCACTGCATCCTACTCACCCTTCAAAGCTCAGCTCCACCTCTCCTCCCTTGGGCAGGACCCTCTACCTCTGGACTCCTGCCACTTGTCATTCCTTCAGCAATTACTCACGCACCACCTCTCAGTACAGTCTTGTGGCAGTTTTTAACATTTCACACATCTGTCCTGACTTCTCACTGTGTATAGGGACAGGGTTCATCATTCTGTTGAGAACTCTCAGAGTGCAGGACTCACGTACTTAGTAGGTGCTCAATGCTGGCATTGTAGGTTCTCAACCTGGGTGTGGCCTTTGAGATCATTTCTACATGAAGAGATGGATGGATGGATGAATAGATGGATGAATGGGTGGAGGAATGGATGGAGAGACAGATGGAGGGGTGGATGGAGGGATAGATGGAAGGAGGGATGAAGGGATGGGTGGATGGATAGATGGATGCATGGAGAGACGGATGGATAGATGGAAGAATGGATGGAGGGACGGAGGAGTGGATGGAAGGATGGATGGATGGATAGATGGATGAGTGGATGGAGGGATGGAGGGGTGGGTGGAAGGATGGAGGGATGGGTGGGTGGATGGACGGATGGATAGGTGGAGGGGTGGATGGAAGGATGGTTGGATGGATGGAGGGAGGGATGAAAGGATGTACAGAGGGATGGATGAATGGAACAATGAATGGAGGAATGGAGGAAGAGAGGGATGGAGGGGAAGGAAGAATGGAGAGTTGGAAGGATGGATGGATTAATATGCCCAAAGCAGAGCCTGGCACATAGTACGTTCTCAAAAAAATATTTATTGAGTGAATGACTGGTGCCTCTCCGCCCCACTGCAGCACCGACAGGATAGGGACTGGGTGGCGGAAAGTAAGAGGGGGGACTGCTTCTCCCTTTTGGCAGCAATCCCAGAGAAACAGATGTTCACCCTCTTGAACTGTATAATTTAAGAGAGCATAGATGTAGAGTAACAAAATACAAAGGCAAATTTGTTCAAGTACCACAGGTTTTCTCCAGCTCCCCAAGGCAGGGAGGGAGAGGAAATAGCAAAATCAGCTGCAGTTACTGCAAGGTGAAGCGGGGATCCCCCAGGAGTGCTTCCTGTGCTTCATAGGAAGAT